AGACCAACTGTAAAACTGGAAGCAGTTTGTTCACACTAACCAAAACAACTACCATCTTCATCTCATGCGCCCCCCCTGGTGCCAGTTGGATACTCAAGGCAAAAGCTGATGAATAACTGTCTCTTAGATAACAAAACTGTGTTGTGACTCTCCTCTCTCATTCAAGGCCACCCACATCGACCGAAGATTGTTGACTTTTGCCTAACCGGGTGAAGGGACACTTTCTCTCAGCTGAACACAAACACACATGTACACTGACCCATACCTACACTACCACCCACCCCCTTCGAAGCTTTTGTCTTCTATGTTGTGAGATGTGTTGACTCATGTGCTGAGGGGTTTTTTTCTCTTCTCAAACTGATCTCCCTGTTGAAGCTCCGTCACCAATGAGTGTGTTAGTTCTTCTGTCAGATTCACTGTTTTCTCTTTATGTCTGAACTCAAAACTCTTAAAAATTGCTCAGTTTAACATCAGAAAGAGAATTTACTAATCAGAGGGTAACATACTGACTAACTCACCCATTGAACTGAATTATCGTCTGTGCAAGCTTCAACTTCAGCTGCAACTCACCTTGAGAAACAGTTGGCGTTGCTCAACACTGAGTCCAAGGCCACCAGAGTCCCACCGCACACGTGACTTCCATTCTTCTGTAAGCTCGCCATCCATGGCCATGAGCCGGCTGTCGCATCTGAGGTTCCTCCCACAATCCCAGAAGTTCTTGGAGCTTGTCCACAGACCACCGCTGAGGAGAAGAACCAGGGGAGACAGAAAGAGGCAGCAAAAACGTGGATCACACAAAACCATCACTTCAAGTTCAGGTAGTGAAGAACTCAGAAAGTGTCAGAGAGCAGCAGCTGTATTATCTACAAGTTTAAAGGAAACAAAGTGTTAATATGATGGAAACTCACATTGGGGAGTGGTTGGAGGCAATGTGGTTGTAGGTGTGGTGGTTGTGGTGGTGGTGGTTGTGGTGGTAGTGATGGTGGTTGTAGGTGTGGTGGTGGTAGGGGAGGTGGCTTTTTCAGAGGAGGTGGTGGTGTTGGTGGAAGTTGTAGTGGTGGAAGTTGTAGTGGTGGAAGTTGTAGTCATGGTAGTAGGGGTGGTGGTTGGCACTGGTAGCAGTCCTGTGCAGGAGACACTGAGGTCAATGTTGGTCCCAGTGGACGTGAACGTCATGAAGCCCGGCTGGTTGGAGGAGATCTGGCTGTTGATCCAGGTCTGGTACTGGGATACTCTGGCGTAGACTCCTGGAAGATTCGGCCTGGCGCAACCGGTCCCAAAACTGACGACTCCCGCCTGAATCCAGCGACCGTTCTGCTTGATCACCATTGGACCTCCTGAATCTCCCTTTGAGAGCAGAAACATTTACTGTTAGCTGAGGAGAAGAAACTGTAGAAGGTGAAAATGTGCCAAACACAGGTAACAACAATCACCTGACAGGAGTCCTTTCCTCCTTCACTTAACCCGGCACAGATCATGTTGTCAGTGATTCTTCCCACTCCATAGTTACAGTTACACTTCCTGTTTCCCACAACAGGAACCTCCACCTCCATCAGGTTTTGTGGAGAAGGAAGCGACACTGAAGGGGTAAAATAAATATATCAGTTTGTAATAAACAACATGTGACTGATTAACCTTCAAACAAAAGGGCGGCTCCTCCAAACTTAAAAACAAAGTGTAGTC